TATATTTTGTATGATTATGTAAAGTAGCTTTTATGTTTAGTTAAATATTTCTGTAGTTAGATTGAAGAAGTAAATACTAGAGAACAGCTAACTTTTCTACCTGAGCTTAAATGCAAAAGTGTGTAGCACCATATACACTGTATATACTCATGCATGAAATATCCCCAAGTAAAAATGAAAACAAGAAAAACACAAATGCAAATAGCATTCAGCATGTCAAAACAGTGTGTTCATGATATTGTAGGGTGGCTTGGAATAGTCTCTTGGAGAACATTGAGGCTAGGGACCAGAAACTGGAAGCTGCTGGCGAGATCCACCGCTTCAACCGCGACGTGGCAGAGGCACTGGCAAGGATTCAAGAGAAGTTCAAGTCCATTCCTGAGGATCTGGGTCGTGATGTGAACTCAGTCCAGTCTTTGCTCAGGAAGCACGAAGGGTTTGAGAATGACCTGGTAGCTCTGGAGGCCCAGTTGCAGGTATGTTTGTCTTTATCTTGTTTTAGAATGAACCTAGTGATTTTTGTAAAAAGGAAATTATGGTGGATGATGGATATTTTATATAGGATTTCTATTCAATTTTTGCTTATTAGAGAACTATTTTGAAGTACTTGCCTTGTAGATGATAGAATTATATCACCATTTTTTAGGTACTGGTTGATGACTCAGCAAGACTCCAGGCAGCTTACCCAGGCAGTAATGCAGAACATATTGCTGAACAACAAGCGCTTGTGATTGATAACTGGAACACACTCCAAGAGAAAGCCTCAAGGAGGAAGGAGGAGCTCCATGCTGCAGCTGACCTTCAGAGATTCTTAGCAGATGTAAGGAAATACAGAATGCCCCCCTCCCCTCTTTTTTATTATAAATGTGTAGACAGATGTAGTTAGCACTATTGATGCTACCATGTGTTTATAGTTGATTTGATGTGGAAGTGCAGGCACAACGGAAGAAAAACAATTAACAAACTTTCACATCCAACAGTCTCGTAACTTGATCAATTGGTCAAGTGATTTGCGGGCAACAATGAAGGCACAGGAGAAGGTGCGTGATGCTGCTAGTGCTCAAGGCCTGAAGACTGAGCACGAGAGGATCAAGGCTGAAATTGAGGCCCGTGAAGATGTGTTCAGCAAGGTGGTAGAGGCTGGACGAATCATGGTGGAGGACAGACACTATGCCAGTACCGAAGTGGAAGAGAGAGTGAACAAGGTAATTATTTTTCTTTTATGACTTTATTTTTTTTATACTGTAATAATCAATTGGTATGATATGATGAGATGCAAAGTATGCATTTTTAACTCATGTTTTTTTTTTACCTTGATATTGAAATCCTCCTTTTATGGCTTAATAGGTCCTTGAAGAGAGAAACCAGTTGCATGCAGCCTGGCAGCACAAGAAGGTGTACTTAGACCAGCTGATAGACCTCCAATTCTTCTTGAGAGATGCCAAGCAGCTTGACACCATCAGCAGCACTCAAGAAGCTGCTCTGTCGACAGCTGACTTTGGAACAACCATTGAACAGGTGGATGCTCAGGTAAAGATGATGCTCAAGTATTTTTGTTATTCAATTCATTGAGGTTTTGGTGATTACTCGGGTGATGATCACACTATTAGTATTTTTTATATTTAGCAAGATTTATTGATTTATTGTTTTGGACAGCTACTTTTACAAATGATACGCAGAACTCAGGAAATCAGGTATGAAATATGATGTAAGACAGATGTGTTTTATTAGTACAAGGTATTTTTTCATCTGCTTACAGGTTAAGAAACATGATGCTTTTGAGAAGCTAGTGTATGCCCAAGAAGAGAAGCTAGATACTTTGAAGAACCATGGCTCAAAGCTCATTGAACAGAATCACTTTGACTCCCCACATATCAAGAAGCGTATTGATGAGGTGGTGTTGAGAAGAGGCCGTGTAAAAGATGCCACAAAGTAAGTTACATTTTATTTTCATCGTGAGGTTTCAAAGTAGCAGTAGATCATAAGCTGATGTAATGCTAATAAGCTTTTTGGCTTTTGACGTTGGATGTTTCTATAAAGACTATAATCTTTCAACAGGGCACGTAAACAGCAGCTAGAAGATGCCCTCCTTCATGCCCAGTTCATCAGAGACGTAGGTGATGCCAACATGTGGATTGACGAGAAAGTCAACCATTTGGAGGCAGCACGGACAAAGGATGTCACCAGCTTTGAGGACAAGGTCAAGAAGCTGCAGAAGCACCAGGCCTTCATGGCTGAACTTCAGGCCCACGAGTCAAGGATCAAGGAAATTACTGAAAATGGTAGGTTTTATTCTAGAGAAATTCATGAGTGAATAATCTTAATAGCTTATAAATGTAGATATAAGGAATTTTAGCAAAATTTTAAAGGAATATAATTATATATATTTTTTTTATGAATTTATTATTTTCTCACAGGTGCAATGCTTGTCAAGAAGAAGCATAAGTCATCAGCTGAAGTGAAGGAAGAGGTAGACCATCTTGTAGAGAGGTGGACACAGCTGGTGCTTGATGCTGAGAATCACTCCAGAGGCCTGGAGGAGGCTCAGGACATCCTTGAATTCAACACTCAGGTGGAGAAGGTCGATGCTTGGATCAGAGACAAGGTAAGTCAGTGTTTTAGTATTGTTTCACAGTGAAGGTAAGATAGATAAATTTACTGAAGAAGTTGACAGATTGAGGCTAATTAGAAAAGATAATCCCTATTTGATTAGATGAATTTGAGTTTATGGTGTTCTTTGCCACAGGAAATGATGGTCCAGGCAGGGGATCTTGGTAAGGATTATGAGCATTGCATGGCTCTTCACCGCAAACTGGATGATGTTGATTCTGACATGCGTGTAGATGATGCCAGGTTCACAACCATCAATAGATTAGCAGATAAGATCATAAAGCAGGGCTGTGGTGACAACAAGGCTGTGGAGCAGAGAAGAAATGAACTGAATCATAAGTAAGTCATCCATCACTATGATTGCTTTTTGTTTTGTTAATACTATGTATGCTGATTTTATGTTTTGTATTAAAAGTCGTTTAGTATATATAGTGCTTACTAACTTTTTTCTCCTTTTTATCTGTAGGTGGCAGGCCCTGAAAGGTGCCATTGATGCCTACCGCACAGAGCTTGCTGGAGCTTTGGAGATCCATGCCTTTAACCGTGATGTTGATGACACCAAAGCACGCATTAGCGAGAAGGCTGTAATCCTTGCCAATGAAGACACTGGGAAGGACCTTACCCAGGTTGAGGCTCTCCAGAGGAAGCAAGAGACCATCATCCGTGATATGTCGGCTATTGAAAAGAAGATCAAGGAGCATGAAAAGGCTGCCTTTAACCTGGCCAAGAAGTACCCAGATATGAAGGATCCCATCCACAAGAAACAAGCTGAGGTTCTAGAGGCTTGGTCCAAACTTTGTGATGGTTCCTTTGGCCGGAAAGAGAAGCTCTCGCTTTCCTACACACTGCATAAGTTCCAGGCTGATCTACGGGAACTGGAAAAGTGGGGAGAAGACATTGTTAGCCGTATGAATGCATCCCCACTGCCCAGCAACACAGCAGAAGCAGAGATGCTACTGCAGAGTCATCAGGAGAAGAAGGTTTGTATTGTAAGGCTGGTATTCAGCAACTCTCATTTTGTGCATTTTATTATGATATAGAATAGATTTTTTATATGTCATTTATTTTATAATTGACTACATTATTGTTATTTGCTTACTCTTGCATTATTATATATTATTATTATATTTTCATTGTTTCTATTTTTAAAAATTATTATCAAGTATTAACTTTGCTCAGTAATACTTATGATGATCTTCAATATCTCTTTGCAGGCTGAAATTGATGGACGAAATGAAGTGTTTGAAGCTCTACAAGAATTTGGTGAGAAGCTTATTGCAGATGATCATTTTGCAAAGGAATCCATCAAGGTGAACCTAGAAACACTGAATGAAGTGAAGAGCAAGGTATGTTACACCACTGCTATGGATTGAAGCAAATTCCTCATCAGTAAATTGGAATGCTTAGATATTGCTCCTCAACATTTGAAGATCCAATAAACTCTTAAAAGGTACATATCAAGGTAACTCAATCATTTATGGTCACTTTTGCAGGTCACAGTGTTCTGGACTGAACGTGAGAAGGTCTTATCTCAGGCTCATCAGCTGCAAGTCTTCCTAGAGATGTGTGAACAAGCCAACTCATGGCTAGCAAGCAAGGAGGCCTTCCTCAACAATGATGATCTTGGGGTAGGTTGTACTTGTATGGAAAAGGAAGATGATCTACTGTACCTAACAGGACATGTCTCCTTACACCCCTTTTTCTTAATGTTCTTATCATGCTCTTTATGTCTCTTTTATTATTATGATTTTCTTTTCTTTTGTTCTTTTTTTACCTTTATTGGAGGAGAAATGTTTATTTAGTTGAAGGATGTTTTATGTGCTTTAGTCATGTGTCCTTGTTATTGTATTTAATGGGTGGTTTATCCTGATATTCACAAGTTGTAGATTCAATGCTGCTTATGAAACACACGGTTGATATAGGTAAATATATATATTATTCAATATTCACTACTGACAGGAATGTTATTACATATTTAATGCTGAGAGGAATATTTTGCCAAGTAGTGGTATGTGAGTTATTACCTGATCCTCCTCTTTTGCAGTATAGGTCTAAGATTTTATGGAATAATCAATAACTCAAGCTTGATTAGCCATAAGTAGAATTAATTGGCACATTCTGTGACTGGTTTGTGTTTCTTATTCTTGATTTGTTTTAAAGTTTGCTTTCAACTTTAAAGCCTTGTATTCTTCTTCTCAACTTTACATCTGAATGTTCTCTATTTGTGTATGATGTTTATTTGTGTTTGTCTTTTTATTTCATTAACATGCCACAGAATGTGAACACAATATATGAGGTAAGGGATGTGATTATGGGGACCATTACTGATAATATTATTATTATGATCATTATTGATGTTGTTGTTATTGTTATTATTCTTATTAGTCATTATTACATCATAAAATTTTCAAGGAATGATAATCATACATTGGACACTTTTTTTATGAGATTTGGAATGTGGTATTTGCTAAATGTTTTTTTGCAAAGATATTAGAACATTTCAAGCCTTTCTTTTTATTCTCTTAGGATTCTATGGCATCTGTGGAAGTGCTGATCAAGAAACACGAGAGCTTTGAGAAGACCTTTGAGGCCCAGGGCAATAAGATTGAACAGCTGGAGATCTTCGCTAAAGACCTGCTGAAGAATGACCACTATGACAGCGATGGCATTCGAAGGCGCCTTGATGTTGTGACTGCCAAGAGGGATAACCTGAAGGAAGCAGCACATCAGAGAAGGCTAAAGCTGAGGGAGTCCAAGTTGCTGCAGCAGTTCTTGAGGAATATCTATGAAGTGGAAGGTTGGATCTCAGAGAAGTTGCAGGTAGCATGTGATGAGAGCTACCGAGACCCCACCAACCTGCAGTCCAAGATCCAGAAGCATGGGGCATTTGAGGCCGAAGTCCTCGCCAACTCGGGTCGTGTCAGTGCTGTGTCTCAGGAAGGTGAGGGCCTTGATTTTGTTTCCTTTTAATAAAGTATTATATGATGGTTTATCATTTACACAGATGGATAGAAATGTGATTTTTTTAAAAAGATCAAGTAGCATGTCTCTTTGCTCAATGGAATCTAAATAAAAAGAAAATGTTTGTAAATTCAGATTATTTATCTTTTTTTTTCTTCAATAGGTGAGAACCTTATTTCCAATGGTCACTATGCTGAGCAAGAAATTCAAGCAAGACTGGACGGATTGGATTCGCTGTGGAAACAACTTCAGGACTCCTCACAGCTCAAGAAGGATAGGCTGAATGAGGCCTACCAGGTAATACTGTAACATATTATGGGTGTGTAATATGAATTCCAAAATATAAAGCCGTATCTCTTTTAAAGATTCTATATTTGATAATTTTGTATTTATGTGAAGTATTTTTATTTACTTTCGATGATCTGCTTTAAAGATTCCTTGGTTGTTTTTCTTCTAGGCACTCCTTTTCAACCGCACTTTGGATGACCTTGAGTCCTGGATGGATGATGTGGAGACGCAGCTGCAGTCAGAAGACCATGGCCGAGACTTGACCTCAGTCCAAAGTCTGCTGAAGAAGCATCAGCAACTGGAGAATGACATTGCTTCGCACCAGAGTGAAGTGGATCAGGCAAAGGAAGTGGCTCAATCATTTGCTGTTGCCAAACATTTCATGAGCGAAGAGATCACTGAAAGGGTTGAAGCAGTCACAAAGAGGTATTATTTGCCATTCGAACTTTATTATTACTGTATAAAGGTAAAAGTGTCACCAAGAAGTAGTTTTGTTCTTTCCTAATTGCAATTCAAATGTCAAGGTAATTATTTATGAAACAGTATTGATCCTTTTCCATTTATAACAAGCATTTCCTCACTTTCCTTCCAGATACAACTCCTTACATGAGCCAGTACACATTCGCCACGAAAATCTTGAGGATGCACTCCTTCTCCAGCAACTCCTGCGAGATATAGAGGATGAGCTCTTGTGGGTGGCAGAGAAGGAGCCCCTCGCTTCAAGCCAGGACCTTGGCTCCTCCTTGACAGCTGTGCAGAACCTCCAGAAGAAGCACCAGGTAAAGAGCATGTCTTGTAAAATTTTTCTTCCCTGCTCCCCTTTCTTCAAGAAAGAACTGAAAATTTAACTTGATATTGTTTTGGCTTTATAGATTTTGGTAGAGTAAAAAAAGAATTATTTACCATATTTAAAGAAAAAGCAGTGAAGATCCTACACAAAGATACAATCAAATAAGAAATTATATGAAACATATCCTTTTCATCTTGTTTTAGGCCTTGGAAGCAGAGATCCAGTCTCATGAACCAGTCATCAACAGTGTAAATAGTCGATCACAGCAGATGATCCGTTCCGGACATTTTGCGTCATCAGATATTGAGGAGAAGATGAAACAGTTGCAGACACAGCTCTCACAGTTAAAGGACACAGCAAGTGTCAGAAGACTCCGGCTGTTGGATGCAGTTGAATCTCAGATGGTAAGGAAAAAATCTGCTTTTATTCCTGAATTGGCATTTCCCTATGTCTCCTTTTTTAGGGAGTTGGCTATTAGTAATAATTATTTCTTCTCTTCATGTGTTGCTAAAATTTGACAGTGGCCTGTAAACATGCATAAGAATTTTTATTACATTTTTTTCTCTGCAGTTCTATTCTGAGGTTAATGAAGCTGAGGCCTGGATGCGAGAAAAGAGACCACTTGTTGTCTCGCAAGATTACGGGAAAGATGAGACCTCTGTTGGAGCTCTGATCAAGAAACTAGACAATGTTGCAAGAGACCTTGATAGTTTCAAGACAACTGTAGAAAAACTATCTGTCTTGTGTGTAAAACTTACTGAGAGAAGACACTTTGACAGTGAAAACATTACCAAGAAAATGGTAAGTGTAACAAGTAATTTTCAGTAATTTCTCATTTGTAGTAAAGATAGATGAAGAAAAGGGAAAAGATGAGGCTTATGTAGATATATTTTTAAGCCTTTGCTTTGGTGAACAGAATTCATATCCATTTCCTTCCTCTTATAGACCCAAGTGAATGAGCAATATGCAGAAATGAAAACGCTACGAGAGAAGAGAGCCAAGCGCCTGGAGGACAGTGGGAAGCTGTTCCGTTTCCTGCGTGAGAGTGACGAAGTAGGCGAGTGGCTCAATGACCAGATGGCAATAGCAGCAAGCGAGGACTATGGCAGAGATGTAGAGCATGTTGAGATCCTGATCCAGAAGTTCGAGTCATTCCTCACTGCATTGAATGTCAATGAGGAGAAACTGGTGACAGTTAAAGAAAAAGCTAAAGTGCTTATCGATGAAGGACATCCTGAGCCAACAAAGATTCAGGAAAAGGTAGAGATATGCCAGAGAGCAAGATTTTTTTTTTTTTTTTTTTTTCCCCCCCACTCATCCATTGATTTAATCATGTACTCATTCTTCACATTGTTTGGAATTTGGAATGGAACAGCTGCGAGTAGCAATGGAGAGGGAGTTAAATCAATGCTTGATGTTTTGAATTTTAAGTTTGTTTTTAAGATTGAATTCAATATTGCATATAGTGGTACTGAAAGTAATCATAGTGAATTAATGATGAAGAAGATTCTGATTACTGCAGTATGCTTGTATTTTGGAAAATGATATACTGGAAAATTATAGCCAAATTGAAATGTGTTTACTTAATTTTATTTCAGGTGGATGAGTTACAACAGCTGTGGGATGACCTGAAAGAACTGTCAACTGCAAGACAAGAGGCCCTTGCTGGAGCTAAGCAGGTATGTTTAATTTACTGGTTCAAGTGGCTGTTTAGAGGTATCAACTTCCAGAGAACAATGTTTTCCTCAATTTTAATGGATATTGAAAATGTTTTGATTATACTGAACATGTATGTTTTATTTCATTTTATTAATAATTGCTTATAAATGTTCCTCGCAGGTGCATGTATTTGACCGCAATGCTGATGAAACCATCAGCTGGATTGCCGAAAAAGATGCATTCATTTCCTCCGAAGATTATGGCCATGACCTGGAGACCATTCAAGGTTTGGCAAGAAGACACCAAGGCTTTGAGAGAGATTTGGCTGCTGTGAAAGAACAGGTATGATCTTGTTTAATTCAGCTTTTTTTGTGTCTTGCTTTATCACTTACCATATAAACATAAAAAAAGGCATTGTACATATTACTATTAATGGATAGCTTTAATGGACTTACATTTTTTAAATGATTATTGTATTATTTGAAAATAAATGTGTTTTAAGTCAGTCTGTTCAATGTATCCACAGGTGGAATCAGTTGTCGAGGAAGCAAAGCGCTTGGCGGATCTATTCCCAGATGCAAGAGAACACATCTCAGTGAAGCATGAGGAGACAGTTGAAGCCTGGAATGACCTCCTCGATAAGTCTGCCCAGCGTAAAGATAAGCTTTACCAAGCTGAGAAACTACAGTCATACTTTGATGATTACAGGGAACTCATGTAAGAATTGTGATATTAGTAGACTTCAGTTTTTATATTGGATTTTGTTGAAGGTTGTTGAACAGATAATTAATGCTCACAAATTCTACCTCTCACATCCCCCTTCCTCTCAACAGGGCTTGGCTGAATGAGATTCTTGCCAAGATAACTGCTCCAGAATTGCCAAAGGATGTGCCAGGTGCCGAGGCTATCATCTCAAGACACAAAGAATATAAGACAGAAATTGATGCACGTGCTGATGCCTTTGACAAATTCAGTGCTGCAGGCAATGCACTTATTGATCAGGGTCATTTCATGGGAGAAGAAATATCAGAGAAGATTGCAACGCTGGAGGCCAGAAGGAAGTTGTTACTGGATACATGGCAGATGAGAAGCTCAATTTATGAACGCAACCACGATTTGAGGGTAACTGTCATTTCTTGATTAATGAATTAGCTATTCAGCCCCCCCCCCCTCCAATAAATAAAGATGAGAGTGATAATAACAATAGCAAAAATATGCAGTTGAAAAATAGAAGTAGATAATATGTTTTCATTTGTAAACTTTTGCTTAATTTCCCTATCCTGAAAAAAGTCATCTGAAAGGGAAAGAAAGAAAATTCTTATAATGTTTCTAATCTGAATACTAATTTAATTTTCTTTTTTTCACCAGGTCTTCCTACGAGACACACAGGTATTTGAGGCCTGGATAGAGTCTCGTGAGTCTGTTGTTAGAGATGACCAGATGGGAGACTCCATCCTCGAGGTGGAGGAGCTGATTCGCCGCCATGATGACTTCCTCAAGACCATTGATGCTCAGGAAGATAAACTTGAACCAATCAAGAGGTTCACCATGGTTAGTGTTTGACAGAGGGTTAATGTGTTTTTTCCTTTTTTCTTTCATTCTTTCTGAGGCATAGTTTTTTTTATGTTCACTCCATTACTTTTAGCATGTGTTAAACTATAAAGTTCAGTTAAAGGCAAGTTCATATATACTTTTCTTTCATTGAATTTATTATAGATTGAAGCAGAATTCCAAGCTCAGAAGAAACGTGAGGAGGATGCCAGGAAGGCAGAAGTGGCAAGAAAGGAACAGGAACGTATGGAGAACATGAAGAGAAAGGAAGTCCAGCGTATTACAGACGTAAGCTACCAACCACTTTGCCAAATGTAACAGTCAGATTCCATGAGTTGGATGTAGTATATTCACATAGTCACATGTAACATTCAATTCATATAGGTGGATAGGTCTTGTTGTAATACAAGAAGACTTGAATATTTACTTACAAGAAAGAGGAAAGGCAGCAAGTAAGAGAAGATAAAATGGTTATTACCACACAAGGTCCTTAGAGAACTTTGGTAAAAGGATAAAAATACTTGAAACAGGAACGTCGCCGGGAAGATGAAAGACGTCGAACTCAAGAGATCAAGTTCACCAAGGAGGACATGGAGCGCGTCCGCTTGTCCATGAATGGGGAATATGCCAAGTCACCCAGTAGAGATCAGGATTCACAGTCGAGGTATGGTGTTGTGAATAACCTTTGTTGTGGTCAGCCTCTCTCTCACTCAGTATTTCTTACTCTTTTTCTTCCTATTTTTTTCCATTTACCAGTGTTTCAATCTGTTAATTTTTTTACTTTTTTCACTACCTGGGGTTAATTGATTTCTTACCTGATGAGAAGAAATGGAAAATGAACAGGTTTTCAGCATGCGCATATGTTTTCATTTACTTAATTTAGAAATTGTAGAAAGAAAGTACACCACCAAGATCAGCATTTAATGTATGAGCTACACAGTATGCCATTCCTTGTTTCCACTTTTTAAAAAGTGCATTTTGAATAGAATTTGCCAACATGCCTATTTATATAGTCCATAGACTAGTACAAAAAATGTGCAGCATGTATGGACACCATTATACATATTAAAAGATCTTTCTAACCCTCTCAGTATGCATTAAAGTAAATAGCAGATAGTAAATTGACCTGTGTAGATTATTTAACAAATAAGGGAAACAAAATTATAGCTAATTTTAATTCTTTGAAAAAGGAGGGAAGCAAAGAACATAGCTTAAAAAAAAATTCATATGTGTATACATATATATATATATATAATATATATATATATATATAATATATATATATATATATATATATATATATATATATATATACTATTTTTCTATTTATATATGTAGACACATGTATATATATTTGTGAATATATTATGAGTGACTTACTCAAAGAATGAAGAACAAGGCCCTAAAATGAAAATACTTTAAATCTTAAAAAAAAAAAAAGTAAACCCTTAAAACTGGTAGGGTAGATATATAAAGAATAAATCCACGAAGATTGACTTTCACGCAAGGAATTATGACAAGGACATAAAAACAGCCTCTCCGAAAAAGACAGTGAGAGTGTTTTGGTCACGAGGTAAAAGGCATCTTTTCTTTTCACTTGCACTCCTGCTTGCATTTTGTTTTTGATCTTTTCCATGCTCGATTTGATTTTTCATTCAGCGATTTATTTATTATTATCGTTTTGTTAATTTGTTTTATTCTTTTGCCTCAAAGGAATTTGCATGAACTTTTCTGATTTTATTTATTTTCCCCTTTTGTTACATGCTTCTTTTATGGGTCAAAAAAGATCAAAGGATGAAGTGAAAATGCTTGTGAGGGATTTTTTAATAATTTTTTATTTAAACAGATGTAACATTTTTATTTCTTTTCCTTCTTTTTTTGTAAAATGGGAAAATAGTTCAGCCTAAGTAAAAAATTGTCAAAGTTTCTGAAATAAGTTTATAAACATTAGAGAATTTAGGGAATGTAGTCAGTTGGGGAGCAATAAATTTATTCATTTTTGACCCATTGTAGTGTATGATTTTTTTAATTTTCAGTATATTTTTTAGCCAGTATTATTAGTTTGTTTTCTTTAAGATTTTGTTTGACATGTATTAACTGTACTAATTTTTTTTCTTATTCCTGTGTATGATTTTATTTCAGTATTCCCTTTTTTTCTTACTTGAATATCATAATCTTGCCTGAGTTTGTTTTGCTAAAGATAAATTCTTTTTCTTAGATCTAGCTACACCTTAAAGTAAAGCTTACCGAGAATCCTTTGCCTTAGAAGTCGTCATTGTTCCTCTTTATTTTTCTCCATCCTCACGCTGATCCATCCCACTTTGCCGTCTGTAAGCTTCATTCATATCCACCCACTCACCCCCCCCCCTTGTCAAGTTTATTCTACTTTTTTATGCCTTTTAATTTATTGCATTTCAGTCTTTCACAGCTCTTGGTCTCAATGTGATTCACATGTGCTGTTATGTTCATGCATTATAAGTATTTGTACAGTATTAGCCGGCTTTATAATGAATTCTCCATCTACTGTTTCTCTTTCCTGCTTGACCCTTTCATGATGATAAAGCCATTTGTTGATGATTCACTTATTTACATCTCTTTAAGCCTGTAGATTAAAATATGGACCTCTACCACATTGTATCTATTCAACTCTCTCGCATATTAATTTGCACCTTGTATCTAGCATCTTATTTTAACCATTGCATGCAGTCATATTAGTATTGTATATTGCATTTTGGGATGGACAGTTGTGTGGTTTGCATTGTATAAATACCTTTATTGACAGGACTGCATGACTTCTTGATGTATATTTATACAGTATATATGTTTTTTTAATTTCATCTTTTTATGTTTAGTTTTTAGAATGCCCTTGGATTTCCAGTATTTTTTTCCCTCCCTCTTTTCCCTCATTTTATTTATTTATTTATTTATTTTTCATTATTGCCTGATTCAGTAATGTTTCTCCTCAAACCTCACGCATGTTTCCCTGACCTCTCTCTGCACCTGTGACCTAACTTAACCTTTGACCTCACTTGACCTTGCACCACCCACACAGTTCCAGCTCTGAGGAAGCTGAGACAGCGAGCACTCCTGAGGGTCACCCAAGGTACCGGATGCGCTCAAGTTCTCTGGGAGAGGTTTTTGTAAGGTACAGATGCACTAATCGATTAAAAGACAAAAAATCATGCCTGGAGCACCTGGTCTGGCCTCGCATCGGCACAGCTTCTGAGAATTTTTGATGTTTGATAAACAACGCTTCGTGTTTAAAAAGTGGCCAACATGGGGGTATAGTGCTATAGTGCATCATGGACGGAAACTTATGGGACATATGCAAACCAACCTATTTTTTCTCTTTTCTCTTAGAGATGTGGACAGACACTATACTGACTGTTATGAGTAAACAAATTCAGGTTTATAAAAGGCAGGGTTGAACATTTGCATATAACATAAGGTTCTTCAACTATATGAAAAAAATTGTATGTTCTTAAATACATATTAGGCAAAATTGTCCTTGAGCTTATCTTGTAAGGAATTGTGTATTGTTGATTACAATGTGAAAGGTTTTTATGGAAAGGAAGAATGAACAAACATTGCTTATCTCATGTAATCAAGCATCACAGTCTTTGACTTGCACTTGAAAGACTTTTGACATGCATTTTGGAGGTTTTAATAGCCAGATTAGAAGGCCTTTTGGTAAGTGATCGTAAAAGGCATCTAATAAAAAAAAAGCATTTTTGAATGTCTGTTTTGCATCATTTAGTTCACTCATGGTGGTTGCTGGGTATAACCTTTCATGTATGTCTATGTAAAAAAATTAATGGTGGTGGTGTAATTCTTCCTTTTTTCATTTACTTTGTAAAAGGGAGCATGGGACAGAATAAGTGAATAAATATATATCTTGTATTTTTTGTACTTGCTTGGTGAAGGGAAAATCATTAAAAAACAAAAAGCATTTATTAAAAAATTAAACCAACAATGATTAAAAGAATGCATTTTGCACAGTGTCTTTTATGTAGCACACAGCAATGTGACTAACAAAAATGCAGAATATGGAAAATACCATAACAGTGATTTAATTATATTACTAATCAAACAAGTCAAACAACATACATATTATTCAAAAATATAAGTATAAACATCCTTTATGGTTTTAATGAACTTTCAATGTCTTTGGATCTATACTTCACCAAAATTTAAAAAAAAATGTATGCCATCAGCAGTGTTGCTGGTCTAAAAATGCAATGTAAACACTTAAAAAATAAACTTGCATTACCCCATAACTTATACAAGGAGTAATTGTTCCCCTTAATATATACATACACTTCTAATAAGAGGAACAAGTAATGGATGAATGATCTTGGTGAAGTATAGATGCACACAAGAACACACTCTTTGGCTAACAATGATGAAATCCAACAGAAAAGCGCTGGAGGTACCAGATGGAGGCGGACTTCCGAGATCAGGATCGCAGACCAGCCTTAGCAGCCTAAAGAGAGGTAACAGTCTTCGCCAGGAACTGTTCCGGGCGAGTCCTTCTAACAGAGGTGCTGGTAAGTGCATGCTGCATGTGGGTTTTTCTTTCTTTAATTTTTTTTCTCTTTTCTCTGATTGATTCCTGGTCAGCGCCAGTATGGGGCGTTGGCCTCTATTGATTTGTGTCGTACCTCTGTTTTTGTTTTATCATATATAGATATTTGTGTTCTTACTTCATATATATATACATGCATATATCTATCAAGATATTCATGGACATAACAAGCAGTTTATATACATATTTTGTGTATGAGTTGGACATTTTCTAATTGTACTTCATTTGTATTTGAAAACAGTTTGGCAGATTTTAAGTAAGTTGCGGAATTTGTGTTTCTAATATGAATGATATTCCATAATCAGTCCTTCTCTGTAAATTAGCCAAATAAAGCAGTTGGTGTGATCTTTTGTTGTAAGCTGTAATGATAAAATCGGAATGCAATTAAAAGAGTTCCAGAATTTTCAAATTAACAAGCTTGTGTGGTTGTTCTATAGATAAAATTCAAAATTTATGGTAAAAGAGGTAAATAATGTAGTGTCCTATTATGGAGAGGTATACCTACTACTGCAGCAAGCCAGATGAATTAGGGTTTTGCTAATAGCTTGGCTAGCATTTTGGAGTAAAATTTTAAATATCAACCTAAATCATGACCTTTGATATTAAGACACATGATGTCAGTTATTTATTTATTTATTGGTTTGTATTTGGTATGTGAGAGAAGAAAAAGGTGTGTGTTTTAGTTATGAGATAATAATTTTGTTCTTGTGTAATAGAAAAATTACAGATGGGAAAAAAACATGACTGTATTGCAAATCATAGTTGAGTGTCAAAGGATCTCCAAGAATAGGTAAGAGTTGAAAAACAAATGATATTCAAGAATACAACAGAAGAAGAAATGATGAAAAAAATGACTTAGCCTATCATATTAACAGTTACATTGCATTTGGAAAATAAAGCAAAGATAAAGATAAAAAGAGAACTTTTCTGGATCTAATGTAATTTATTCACTTTTGTTTCATATTTACTCGTGAGTGTATTGTAGCTGTTAATATATGCTGTAGACCCTCCTTTGCCATAATTTTCTCTGTTATAAGTTAAATTTTAATTTTTACAACCTTGACAAGGTCTTGCTGTTCACATGCTAAGTTCTCTCCATTTTTTTATGCAATATGATTGCTTTTGCTAATGTTGTCTGTTACAGTTTTATTTACTCATGTGTCCTAGGTTTAATGCTTCTTGAGAAAGTTATAGTTCAGCAAAGATGTGTAAGGAACATTTGTTCTAGCAAAGAGAATTGGTAGCCTTGAGAGAACGGCACATGTTGAACGTTAGCACTCAAAATGTGTGATACTGCCGTTGAATAACCAGCCTTAATCATATTGTATGAGGCCTTAACCTCTAAATGATTCAACCCAGTTATTAAGGTTACCTAACTTGAATGAGGATGTCTGTTCATCAGTCCGATCAGATATCTATGAGGATCCTATCTGCAGTGACAGAGGAGGGATTACCATTAGGAGAAACAAGTCATAACACAATGGTGCATGAATGGGTCACTTAAGAGATTTATACCTTATACTGAAAAGGGAGACCTGGTGCCATGACACTCAAAGTTTACTCATTGTTTGGAAAGCATGTGGTGTTTTAATTTGTTTTTCTTTTTGGAATTTTCAGTGTTGATTGCGTTCTGTTTCTGGTTTTGAATATGTTTTTGAGCATGTTTTTTTTTTTTTTTTTTTTTTCTATATTGAAGTTGATTGATTTTCTGTTTTTGTCTTTTTGCGGTGTCACTTTTTAAAGTTCATTACTTCCATTTACGCAAGAATAATTATGCATGTGTCATTGATTATTTTCTTTTGCAAGAATAATTGGTGTTGGTTTTTAATTGATTAATCAAAGTATTCCTTTGTTTTCTTCATTTGTGATTATGGTTGTTGTTGTCCTTTTTTTTTTTAAGTGATTTTTGTAACACTTTAACATTATATTAAATATTGGCTTTTACCATAAAGAATCCAAATTTTGCTTACAGTAGCACTTTGTGATTGCTAGTGCTTGTGCTACGTTCTTTCAGTTTTAGAGTTAAAGTGATAGATGCATTTACGTTTTTTGTAGTTAGATAGCTCAGATGAATTAAGTCTAGATTTGCTGTTATGTAGTGATATATATATATTAAGCCTTTTAAGTTCATGGTTTTCTATTATATTTCAATCTATCTTATATGTCAGATATTCATTAACTTCGCAGCAGCACTAAAAAAATAATTACCAGATATCAGTTTAAGGGAAAAAGTGATATACTAATGATGTGAAAATCAATCATGCATAGTTATTCACTCTTGGGAGTAGGAGGAAGTTTAAAGAAATGGTTTTTAGAAAATAAAACTTCTGGATATTAAAGGTAACATGTATTTTAATAGATATCAAGAGGGCAGAGAGCATGAAAGTTGACCTGAAGAAACCCAAGAGAACGCCTAGCTTCACCACAAGACGAAGAACGCAGAGTTTCCGAAAGCACAAGCGCATGGAGAACATGGCTAACCTCCCACCTGTTGAAATCCAGGGCTACCTTGAGCGCAAGCAGGAGTTGCAGAGTGGAGGCAAGAAGGCAACCATCAGATCGTGGAAGACGTTCTATACAGGTGATTTTTTTCATTTTTCTTGTCTTTGCTTTTCTTTTCTTTCTCCTTTTTTGTAAAGGAATGATTATACTATAATTCTAATAGTAGTGCAAGTACAATACATGTTTAATTGGTATAGAGTATAGTCTTATATCATACTTAGTTACTTAATATTAAACTTTCTCCGCATCTAGTTCTCTGTGGCCAGTTGCTATGCTTCTTCAAGGATGAGGAAGACTTCTACGACCAGAAGGCTGCATCGTCCCCCATTTCTATTCACCAAGCAGGAGTAGAGAAAGCGGAAGATTATACCAAGAAGAAGCATGTATTCAGGTAAGTTGGGAATCAAAAGGGAATGGAACTAGGTGTGTGTGTGAACTGGAGCAGGTTGCTAAGCTCTTTATCATTTAAACTAGTGTTTTTGACTCCTTGGCTAATTATAGGTGTACACCTCCATTATGTGTTTTATGTGATTTTCTGGGTGTGTTTGCAAATACTGTCTGGTTTTGATATTGAACATAGAAGTAAAATGCAAAGATGATATATATTCTAATATCATGCTAAGTGTGATCTGTTACATCTAACATCTTTCTACTTACTAGAATATATTTTTAGAACATTTTCTCCTTTTCCTAACATATGAGCCACAAACTATAGTTTCTTAAGAACAATTCTTAGAACAACAGTGGCAAAACTTCCTTTGTAACAAACCTTTCCTCCTCAACCAGGGTGATTACAAGGGACAACGCCGAATACCTCTTTTTGGCTGAGTCTGACGAGAACCTGGAGGAATGGGTGACCAAATTAGGGTTCCACGCTCAGCTTCCTCCTTCTATGCAGCTCATGTCCTATGACAACCACAAGGTTAGTCCTTTGCATATAACTTGGTCATGGGGTTAATCACCAGCTCTCTTGATATTTACCATATGGCTCAGGTCAGTCTCGTAATGCATCATTTTGGAGGGACCCTAGGGTCTGGACTGAAGCCAGGGTGGTAAATCAGATGTTGGTTGAAAGGGCGTTCACATCCCTTTGATGTGGGATGTCTTTAACCCCTCTTTGGTAATATGGTTCCTTAGTTGCCTCAGTCACTGCTTCTCCTTTCAAATGTGGAGGTAATTTGTTTATTTATTGTTATTATTATTTTTGGCTGTATTAGTAGTAATCACCTGTTCTTTGTGTAGATCTGCATGACAATAATGATTATGTTTTCAAAGTATTACTTTTCTATTTGGTGTAACTTCTGTCAAAATAATTTTCATGTCTTGAATGATTGTTAAGTAGAGACGGTATTCATTCATATGTGTTATCTCTTTTTTTTTATATTCAAATTATAAAGTGTCACCAATGAAAGGAATGTGGGACCTCTTGCACTGATCTCATGGAATATAGGCCTTTTCTGCCTGGTTTCAAGGTAGCACATAGACCTTCTGCCAGGAACCACTCAGCATCTGAAGAAGGAAACAGTTGTTAGTCGGAACCTGCTTAAAAGACTGCAGGCTGTTCAACTTATACTTTTCTTGTGTTTTAGTTGTGTATTAGTGTATAATTTTCTTCTTGTATTTTTAGTGTGTAGTGAGTGGTTTCCTGACGAGAAGGGAATGTGTTTTCATTTTCCAATACTTTTGCATTACATTTATTATTCTTTCATTATCTCAGAAAGGCATGCATAGCCAGCCTGATGATTACACCATGTCCACCATTCTGTGGCTTTTATTAGTATTATAGCTGAGATGTTATTGTGGATGTTAAATGGAATATCTAATCAAGTTGCAATACTTGATGGCCATGTTTGACTTTGAGCAACTTCTCAACACGTTTACTAAGTTCCATGCACTGTTACAGTCGGCTCAGTGATCACCGTCTGTAGTTTAGCCATGTGTTTTCCTCTTGACTCTTTAAGTTCACTCATTTCTCACAACACTGCTTTCTCCTTATGAAAGTCTTTTATCTTTTTACAGGTCTCCCCATCTTCCTAAGATTCCTTCCAAATGTTCCCACTTAACCTAATTTTTTATACTTCTAATTCCTTGTGTCAAATTAGATATGATGTTTAATTCTCGCATGTAAATGCTTAAAAGTGATAGATGTGCGATGATTCCATGATTGCAATTCCTTGGCTTGAGCTTTTAAAAAACTTGGAAACTCAAGCTTCACCTTAAAAATTGTGTTCAATAGACTGTATGTCTGTCAGAGTATGATTTCGGATACCAGTATCCTGCCTACATTAACTGGCAAATACTTTTAACTGTTAAAAAGATATTCCTAGTAAATAGTCAATAGAATATTTTAATTTTTAAAATTAGATATTCAGTTGCAGCACTTTCAGTAACATGCATTTTCAGCACATTCTCTCTTCCTAGCCATTTCTACACAAACTTGCTTTACATCCACCCATTTGCACATTTCTTAGCATCTTCCTCCACCCTTCAAGGAACATCTTTAGTCTCTTTTCTGCTACAAATCATACATGGTGTCTCATGTTTGTTTTATTTCCCAACCTTTTCCAATATGCCACCACCACTGCCACCTTTGTGCCTTGATGAATGTCTTGGGTTTGTGTCATGTTGTTGTTGGAATGTTGCCATGTTGCATGTGACAGGAAGGGGATGTGGGCAGCGACCTGGTGGCAGTTCCTTCCCGGGACTCGGACAACTCTTCTGGCCACTCCACCCCTGAAGTCCGTCACCGTGGGGCTGTGAGCTCCCATCCGCAGGGGGCTGGAGGAGGCCTAGACCCCACAAGGCCACACTCACAGGCCCTTGACAATCCCCTGTATGCGAACCTGGAGCATGTGAGTACGCCGAGCATGTAAACCTGTCCTCTTGCCTCTCCCATTACGGTGCGGTAATGGTCTAAGGGACAAGGTGTTTGCCGACAGAATATTTGTTTTTGTAATGAGATTTGCCCTAGAAAGCAACAGTATTTATTAAAACTTTATATTATTGATATTGTATGTTTTTAAAATTATATGAAAATCCATAGCAAGATAAATGTTAGATTTTTATGATATACTAAAACTCATTTATTATATTTTCCATTTTTCAGATATTTCTTATAAGCTATATTGGAAACTATGATTTACCATTTTATCTTGTAATCATTATGCATCAACCAAATTAATTACTTAAAAATATTTCTCTCACTTTTTAAGTCTCTGCTGAATAGGATTTCTGTAAATTTGCTCTAGTGTTTCAGATGCATCTAGAAGATCTATGACAAGCCACAAAACTAAATCAAAACCTTGTCTTTTATCAGATGCAGGATAAGACAAAACCGCCAGTGCCTCCCCGTTGCAGTTCGAGTAGTAATAGGTCATCGCGCTCATCCCTAGGAGAGGAGGGCCCTATTTACCAAAACCGCATTTCTGTTGTTCCATCTTACGGTGAGTTCTTTTACATAATGCAGTAATTAAGATTTACAAATGTTTTATTTTACATTTATTTAATATATTTTTTTTTTCTTTTTTCTTTTTTTCTTTTTCTTTTTTATCAAGAAAGTGTATTTTCTAGTCAAAGGCAGAAGTATTAATCTAAGAGTTCAAGGGAAATTAGTATGTTACAGATTTGGGGCTAATGTAGTTAAATCTTTACAGAGGTAACTCCTCCTGAGAACGCTTACCAAAATTACCCACCAGACAGACCCAATGGACACAGACGGGATTCATCTGAAAACATGAATGGTGACGGTAAGTGTTTCTGTCCCCCATATACATTTTTTGTGTTTTGATTTGCATTCTTGTCATGAGAACTTTGCCTTGTTCCCTGTAAATCTATAAATGCTGATACAAAGATATTAGCATGATTTGTTTTAGCATGTGAGCATTGTTAGATAGTTAGATATATGTGTGGTTAATTTTAAGGATTCCTGCCACCAGTACTTGTAACAAGACAGACAAAATTAAGTAGTGGGAAAGCATGTGTATTAATTCATAATAAGTCTCGATGAAGTCCTTCAAAAAGATTATAAGATAAAGAGTTGTTTACCAGAATGTATTAATTCACAGCTTTTTCATTTGTATTGTTCACATTTTAAATTAGTTTGTGGGAGATATTTATAAAATGTTATTATTTTAAATGTAGCACCCTAACAGTTACTGCAAAAGGCACACATTGCAGTAAATACTGTAATTGGAGTATGGCAGAAGTTGCATGTTTAGCAATTTAGTTCTGAACTTAGTAATAGATAAACTAGTAGTTCACATGAGGGCCTACATTCTACAAAGAAATAAAAGTTACAAAGAATGAGATATATTCTTTGACCACAGTCTCATAAGATGGACTGCCAGAGTTCACACAGAAGATGCTGATGCAGAACTAAACCATTTTTCACCTCATGGTAAAAGAAACAAAGAAAATATCTATGCTTCTCATCACCCAACACATGTTTTATGCACCTGTGACCAGGATTTGCACCACCATATGTTACACATTAGATGTTGGATGAGCACTTTTTTCTGCTTTTAGTAGGGAAAGTAACTTTTTTTCTCACCTTACTTAGGAGAGATCGTAGTTTTTTCTGTCTGTTGTCAACCTTTCCTTTCCTCTCTCCTTGTTTTCCTTGCTCCTTGTTGAGATCTTCTCCCATTTTTCTTGCCTTTTATATGTCGAAATGTTATAAATGAGAATGGATAACTTCATAAGGCAAGAGCTGTGATGCACACATCTCACTTGAACCTCCAGCAGAATTTTTTGATACTCTAGTGAATTACATTTAATTCTGGGGTAATTTAATTGATATCTGTATAGTACACATTTTGCTCTGTAAATTTATTCATTCTCAGTCATGCATTTTCATTTTTTTCTTTTGTGAATAAAAACTTTTCATTTCCTTTTTCTCCATCTCTCACTTTTTCTAATCTTGCTTTTTACTCATAATTGTCCTTACATTTTCATACATAAATTCTTCATGAACATTATTCACATATTGTTGATTTTTTTCCATCCTTTACATGTCTTAAGAAATTCTCTCTCTATACAGACTGTGTAATTGAAATCATCTTGTACCTTCTTTCAATGGATGGCAACCTTTTGTTTAAATTCTAAGTGCTCTTCTCTCATATTTATTACTCTAAATTTTTGACATTCATCCTCTGCTCCTAATAGACTATCAGAAGTAAAACTATCAGTAACAAATTCGTTAGCAGTTTTCTTCATCAGATATATATATATATATATGCAAGTCCTCATTGTCACTGATAATGGCTCCCTTTGCAAAGATTGTAGGCCATTATTGAAATCTACTTTACACACTGTACATAAATTTTCCCATTATAGGGTTGTAATTATATATTAATCCTTGGTGTGTATATATTCTTTGGTGATAATGGTGTCGAGTTACTAAAGTATTTTAAGGTTTTGTATAAAAATAATTGTAATTATGGGTTGATATGCATTTTTTTTGTAGTTATTGCTCTCTATCCCTATGAATTCAAATCAAGATCATTAAAAGGGTTAGGTTAAGTAATAATTAGGTCCTGATAGAGCCACTAATTTACATTCTAGGGATCAAGTTCCCAAACAACATAGAATTCATCTGAAGCCTCAAAACTGTGTCCATTTTTGTAGTAGCCATTTATGATGGTGATTAAATATAGAAAATAGAGTTCCACATCTATGTTTACTTTTTGTATTATACCTGCAATGGTGCATTATTATTTCTTGAAAAATATATATGTAGTCTGTCCTTGTACTTTGCTTATGTAAGACTATAATAAACACTACAAAGTTTGGACCAGTTGTAGGCTTGTTTCTCACAAGACTCACTTCATCTGTCCCACATAGCCTCCATAATCTGCATCTCCTGCTTTTGTGCAAGCTTTATGTCAGTGGCCTTTTGCAAGTTTTTGTGTTCTGTATGTTTTTTTGTTTTGTTTTTGTTTGTGTGCCTGTCTTTTTGTCCACACTGCAACTTGTGGTAATGTGTTTGTCGTTGAGTTGGTGGCTTCTCTGCAGACCTGCCCCCACTGCCCAGTTCAGCCCCTCCTCTGGTGATGGCCCGACCCCCCGTGCCCCCTAGCCGGGCCAGGTACACAGAGCACACGTGGGTGGGTGGGCCACACCAGCCTAGCATGCCCCATCATGGGGGTGGGCCGCACTACGGGCAGCCGATGGGTCACACAGTTAGCCACCACCATCAGCAGGTAGCCCAGCACCACATGGGACAGGGCACCCACTATTCCTCCCAGATGACTCGGGTGACCCACCACCAGTATGCATACACCTCACAGGGTCAGTTGCTGCTTCATTCATTCACCAGCCTTGGTGCTGACAGTACTTAGTTCCCAACTGCTGTTTGTCCTGCTTGTAGCTGTGTTAATGTCAATGTGCTTTTGCTGTAATTATGTGTTGGCATATATATTAATATAATGTAATTAGTGGATTTGAGTTAAGTGTATTTTCAACATGTAGGTTAAGAGGGGAATTCCAAGGATTAGCAGATAATGTGCAATTGAAGTATCTGCGTGCGTGTGTGTGTGTTTGTCAAACAAAGAGAGAAGAGAGAAACAAAGAGAGAAAGAGAGAGAAACAAAGAGAGAAAGAGAAACAAAGAGAGAAAGAGAGAAAAACAAAGAGAGAGAGAGAAACAAAGAGAGAGAGAGAGAGAGAGAGAAACAAAGAGAGAGAGAGAGAGAGAGAGAAACAAAGAGAGAGAGAGAGAGAGAGAGAGAGAGAGAGAGAGAGAGAGAGAGAGAGAGAGAGAGAGAGGAGAGAGAGAGAGAGAGAGAGAGAGAGAGAGAGAGAGAGAAACAAAGAGAGAGAGAGAGAGAAACAAAGAGAGAGAGAGAGAGAAACAGAGAGAGAGAGAGAGAGAAACAGAGAGAGAGAGAGAGAAACAGAGAGAGAGAGAGAGAGAAACAAAGAGAGAAAGAGAGAGAAACAAAGAGAGAGGAGGAAGAGAAACAAAGAGAGAGAGAGAGAGAGAGAGAGAGAGAGAGAGAGAGAGAGAGAGAGAGAGAGAGAGAGAGAGGAAGGGAGAGAGAGAGAGGAAGGGAGAGAGAGAGAGAGGAAGGGAGAGAGAGAGAGAGGAAGGGAGAGAGAGAGAGAGGAAGGGAGAGAGAGAGAGAGGAAGGGAGAGAGAGAGAGAGGAAGGGAGAAGAGAGAGAGGAAGGGAGAGAGAGAGAGAGGAAGGGAGAGAGAGAGAGAGGAAGGGAGAGAGAGAGAGAGGAAGGGAGAGAGAGAGAGGAAGGGAGAGAGAGAGAGAGGAAGGGAGAGAGAGAGAGAGGAAGGGAGAGAGAGAGAGAGGAAGGGAGAGAGAGAGAGAGGAAGGGAGAGAGAGAGAGAGGAAGGGAGAGAGAGAGAAAGAGAGAGAGAGAGAGAGAGAGAGAGAGAGAAACAAAGAGAGAGAGAGAGAAACAAAGAGAGAGAGAGAGAAACAAAGAGAGAGAGAGAGAGAGAGAGAGAAACAAAGAGAGAGAGAGAGAGAGAGAGAAACAAAGAGAGAGAGAGAGAGAAACAAAGAGAGAGAGAGAAACAAAGAGAGAGAGAGAGAGAGAAACAAAGAGAGAGAGAGAGAGAGAGAGAGAGGAGAGAGAGAGAGAGAGAGAGAGAGAGAGAGAGAGAGAGAGAGAGAGAGAGAGAGAGAGAGAGAGAGAGAAACAAAGAGAAACAAAGAGAGAGAGATAGAGAGAGAGAGGAGAGAGAAACAAAGAGAGAGAGAGAGAGAGAAAAACAAAGAGAGAGAGAGAGAAAAACAAAGAGAGAGAGAGAGAGAGAAACAAAGAGAAAGAGAGAGAGAGAGAAACAAAGAGAGAGAGAGAGAAACAAGAGAAAGAGAGAGACACAAGAGAGAGAGAGAGAAACAAAGAGAGAGAGAGAGACACAAAGAGAGAGAGAGAGACACAAAGAAAGAGAGAGAGACACAAAAGAGAAGAGAGAGACACAAAGAAAGAGAGAGAGACACAAAGAGAGAGAGAGAGACACAAGAGAGAGAGAGAGAGAGAGAGAACAAGAGAGAGAGAGAGAGAGAGAGAAACAAAGAGAGAGAGAGAGAGAGAGAAACAAAGAGAGAGAGAGAGAGAGAGAGAGAGAGAGAGAGAGAGAGAGAGAGAGAGAGAGAAGAGA